AAATGACCATGGAAAGCCTGGGAATCAACGGAGGTCAGTATTGATTTGTATAGGTCTCATAAAAATGCAAATACAAAGTAAATGTTAGGAAGATTTCTAAATAGAATAAAAATAACTCTAGCAAAAATTAAATATTGGTATAGACTTAGCATGTTTGCTGACAATAATATTCTAAAATGTGCATTAAATGAAAACAAAGCAATTAAATCAAAGTGGATAAAACATATTGAAAATATTATTGGTCACGAGGAACTGGATAAAGCAAAAGAACAGCACAATGTAGATAATATTAGCCAGTTATCAAACACCATGAAAGTGAAATTAAGAGACCAATACAGTATTGGAAGGAGAAGCTAAACTCATCCACTCGTAGTAGAGACAAAAATGAAGGCTATGAACTTGAAAATTATCTAAATGAAATAAATAACTTTAGAAGTAGAATGTTATCAAAATTCAGGCTTAGTGATCACATTTTGGAAATTGAACTGGGGAGATGGAGAAAACCAAAACTACCAGCAACAGAAAGAGTCTGTAAAAAATGTGATCAAGGCGATATTGAAGATGAAAAACATTTTTTTTGAGCTGCTCACATTTTGAAAATGAAATAAAAAAAACTCCTGAAAAACTGCGAAATTACCTCGAGTGAAAAGAACAAAGACGTAATGCTCTTAAAAATTATGAAAAATAACATTGCTCTGTCTCTATATCTTAAAAATACCATATATAAAGCACCGCCTGTGTAAACCCCTGGGTAGGGAGAACCTTTATTTTGATTTACTTACTGTATTTTTATTACTTTCTGATTTTTGTAGTTATTAGAACTTTTAAATTTGTAGTTATTTTTAGTTGCTTTATTTTACACTATTTTTACCTTACTGTATCCACAGCAGATTACAGTTGCGTAATAAACTATTATTATTTATCTGACCCGAGTACTCTTTAAAATTTAGAGTTCATTGACAATCAAACATAGTCCTTCTAAAAAGAAACTGTGAATCAACCTTGCGTTTCTACAGAAAAAAATCAACTATCCTCTGTCTATTTTGAGACAGTATATTTTGGCTACAACAGAAATCAACTCACGACTATAGGATGTTACATTTGGACGTAAGAGAATGAGAACAAACGAAATTCTGGCGGAGACCAATTTACATTGACGATTGATGTTCTCCGAGAGATTATGATATGTTATGAGTTGTTTCCCCAACAGAACTAACAATTTGTATGTTTAAACACCATTTTAGACTCCATAGCAGGCCCGTTGGTACAACTAGTCTGAGGTACAAAACAGAACGCAATTTCTCGTCACATATAAATACAGCTTTCAGTTGAATTTAATTTGCAAATTTCATCCACGCGTTTATTATTAATCATTTTGTAGTTATGGGTTGCAGGAAAACATGACACGCAAACGTCATAGCATCATAGTGACGTCAAAACTAGTATTCGACAACTGTGAAACGATTTTCAGGCATTTCCGCGCTTACATGTGTAATGTGATATACGCATTTGATGGTAATACATTTTGCAGAAGCTCATCTCATCGACATATTTCCCTCTGGTAGCTCTGCATTTAGGACAGTGAACTATAAAAAAAATGAATTACAAAATTAAATCATTCGATTTTTGCCTAGGCTGTAAACGCATTAACTACTGGTTTTTGTTTCGCTATTTTTGTTGATTGGTAACATTCGCAAAATTTGATTAAAACTCATTGTTTCTTTGCCAAGTTCAAAAACTTCAAATCAAGTGAAATTGCTCAAAACAAGTAAATATTATAATTAAATGCCACTGAAAATGAATGGTTTTAAAGTATGAGTCCATCATCATGAGTTGCGTGTTTGATATTTGTTGGAGCAACTATAATGAGCATTTACGTTCAATCGGGACCCCCTCGAAATGTTTCAAAATACATCGCTTTTACGAGAAAAACCAGACATAAAACTAATTTCTAGATGTAACGAGAAGGCATGGTAAACGTTACTTGACATCAAGATGAATCCATTTTGAAATGCTACCATAAAGGTTGTTAGAAAAAAACAAAAGAAAAAACAAGCAGGCATATATGGCTGTGCTCTGTGGCATTTAAATTATTCAAATGATTATTCATAAACTGTCAGTGAATATTGTAGAACCGTAATGTAAGAATTTTGGTTGCATTTACATAACAATGAGAGCGAGTGTGTTGAAAATAATTTGCATCATTGCGTGAGATATTATTCTTTTCCAGTATCGGTGATCTGTGAAGTTTCCCCCGATCTACTTTTGATCTAAAAGTCAACTTATAAAATATCATTCCATTTAAACGTGACATTGTTTTCGTAAATTTCTGACTCAGAACACAGTCCCTCCACAGAGGGACTGTGCTAAGAAATAGTTCTCACTCCTCAGTCTGAAAAAAAAAGTTAGAAACACAGTCCCTTTATGAGATAGAA